TCCATTTACCCATCAACAAAGGAGAGGAGAGCAGTCAGTTGTGAAGCGTTGGAAGGGAGATGTGTAAGGATGGGGAGGTGGGCAGGGGCTGGACCAGAGGGAGCTGCCGGCCTGGCCTTGTGTGGGCCTGGCCCAGGGACAGGCCTGTGTCCTCAGACCGGTGGCTGCTGAGACCCAGGGCACAGACAGAGAATGGTGGGAAGGAGGGGGCGGCGGCTTCTGAGGTCTCACACAGCAAGACCAAGGAAGCCACCCCAGCGCTGAGACAGCAGGCCACCGAACACTGTGGGACGGCTTTCCGTGTGCTGGCTTAGCATTTCATTGCTTTGCAGCATTCAATTGAAGATGAAACAGGGTTTGAGTGCAAGGCTGCCCAGAGGAAGTCCTCACCCACCTGAACCCCAAGACTATAACCCAGGACAGGCAGCTGCGCACCAAGGCTCCGGCGGCACTGACAGCAGCAGGGGACTTGAGGTTTCCTCCAGATACCAGGCATGGGGACATCCCCTCCGGGCATCTGGACCCAAACCTGCTCTCACTCTACCCGCAAAGTGGGAGAATAACTACACATCACGGTGTGAGGTGTGAGGTGTGACAAAGACCAGGCCATGGCAGCAGCTCTGCGAGGACCTGGCTGAGTTCCAAGCCTCAACCCTGAACTGGCAGCACACGGGGCACAGCAGCTGGACGGGCAGCAGCCGGGCTTACAACAGCTGGACTGACAGCAACAGGGCTCATAACAGATGGACTCACAACAGCGGGATTGGCAGCAGCAAGGCTTTGAAGAACTGGACTCACCACAGCAGGGTTTACAACAGCAGGACTTGCAGCCCCCGCAGGAGCCACAGCCCCCTTGCAGCCCCTGCAGGAGCCACAGCTGGAGCAGGAGCAGGAGCAGGCTGGCACACAGCAGCTCATGGTTGTGGTGGTGGTGGAGGAGGTGAGAGGAGCAGGTGGAGAGAGAGGTGAGTGGTGTGGGGCCTCCTGGCCTGGCCTTTATGTGTGTGGATTTCTGTAGGCGTGGTCACTCTGAGTGTGGCCTCTGTAGGCATGGTCCCTTGTGGGTGTGGCCCTCTGTGGGCGTGGTCTCCCATGGCTGTGGCTCTGTGGGCGTGGTCTCCCATGGGTGTGGCTCGGTGGGGATAGGACTGACTGTGGGTGTGGCCTCTGGGGCATGGCTTCCAGGGGCCTGGCTTCCCTGGGCCATTCTGACTGATTTCTCCCATCTCCCCCACATACAACTGTATTTCTATGCCAATTCCTCCCTGTGCCAGTATAGCACTTTAGAATTCTTTTATTGTTACAAAGCTGGTGTACAGTGGGCTTACACAGGTCAGGCAATGCGTGCATTTCTGTTTGGACAGTGTCTCCCCCTCCTTCAGTCCTAGGTTTTCCCTCACATCCCCACCCACAGGTTGTACAGTTCATTTTAAACATAGTGTCTGCTGATTACAGTATTCTAAAACCACACTTTTATCCACATCATTAAAGAGACTACTGGGAGAAAAAATGTCATATCCCACCCAGTATCTACACCTGGTCACAGGCTCATTAATTTCACCTTTGTCCTCTTTCAGATCTGTACGTACGGTTTTGTATACACATTTTATATATTCATAAATAGCATTCACCACAGTGAATGTTAATGTGCGTGTGTATGTGTGTGTGTGTGTGTGTGTACACAGGCACCACCTACAGGCTGGCACTGGGGAATGAAATTGGGGATTGAACGCTGTCCCTGAACATCTTTGCTCAATGCTGCTAGCACCCTAGGAGCCTCACAACTTTCCTTCCTGGGCTGGTTTTGAACTGTGAGCCTCAGAGCTCAATCTCCTGAGTAGCTAAGATGTCAGGCGTGAGCCACCACCAACGAGCAATGTAGCTTTGAAATCTTCATGCCCTTCAAAGGTGGAAAGGGGTATCTCCTGAATTTCTTTCATTATTACTGTGGGTGTGGTTTGACTCTCAGGCAAATTACATGTCCTTTGACTTGTTTATACGGAGAAAACCAATTCCTTACCTCAGGATGTCTTGTCTCCTATAGATGTGTATGTGTGGCCTCAATTTATGACACACTTTATGTTTAAAATTACATTTATTTCTGCATTGCTGGGGAAGGAACCCAAAGGGCCTTGCATGTGGTAGGAAAATGCCCACGACCCCAGTATAGGCCACTGAGCCTCATCCCAGTCACTGAGCCATGCCCCTAGTCATGAGTCATGTCCCCACTCACTGAGCCATGCCCCAGCCAGAGAACCACGCCCCCAGTCACTGAGCCACACCCCAGTCACTGAGCCACGCCCTCAGCCAGTGAGCTAAGCCATCAGTGAGCCACGCCCCCAGTCACTGAGCCACGCCCCCTGTCAGTGAACCACAACCCTGTCACCGAGCCACACCTCCAGTCACTGAGCCACGCCCCCAGTCAGTAAACCACGACCCCAGTCACTGGGCCTTGTCTCTAGGCACTTAATCAAAAATGTCCCATCACAAACCATAACTATGTAATTCTTACTGGTCACTGAAAACATATCTTGTGAAGAAACCTATTAGATAATGAAAAGAGGAGGCTCACACCTGTAATCCTGCTCATCAGGAGGCAGAGATATGATGATTGCAGTTCAAAGCCAGCCCAGGCAGGAAGGTCCCTGAGACTTTTATCTACAATGAACCACCAGAAAACTGGAAGTGGTGCTGTGCCTCAAGTGGTAGAGCGCTGGCCTTGAGCTGAAGAGCTGAGGGACAGCGCCCAGGCCCAGAGTTCAGGCCCCATGAATGCAATAAACAAACAAAAGCAAAAAATTAATAGAAGGTGAACTAAATAGCATGAAATAAATTCCAAGCGACTCCATCTCTAAAACAACCAACAAAAAGCAGAATGGAAGAAGCAGGCATTCCAGTCCCAGGAGCTTCTGCCCAGGCCCTGAGGTCAAACCTAGGTGCCTGCAAATAAAAACCAAATAAATGAATGAATACGAGCAAAGGAAATGTCAGGCCTCTCTCCAAACACAGGAGAACACGATACCACCTTGCCCACAACCACCACTGTCTTCCCCACCGCCGGCCCCAGCCTCCTGTCCCTCAGTGCTCCTCCCCTCCCCCAGCTTGAATACCCAGGCTGGCCCTTGTCTGCTGGAGGCACCTTCTCCTGTCCTCCACCACGGCCCCTCCACGCCACCTCCACCATCATGGACACAGTCAGCCGCACTCCATGTGTGCATAGGAGCATCCCCATCATCTTCCTGTGGCTGCCGCAGCACCAGACCCCCAGCCAGTGTTGGGCCAGGGCCTCCAGGGCTGGCACTGCGTCCGGCAAGGGCTACAACCCGGATTCAACCCCGGCACTGCAATCCCCAGGAGCAGCGAGAAATCTTCGGTCCCAGTTCCATGTGGGGCCCTCACTGTCCCGTGTGCCCCGTGGAGCCCACACTGCTTCCGCCGCCCTCACAGGGGTCCGCGCAGCGCGTGCGCCCAGCCTCCAACCCCGGCTCCATCATGTCTTCAGAGAAGCTCCTTGCACACCAGCAGAGAGTCACAGCCAGGCACACTGGGACCTCAGATCCCGGGCCTCAATCCTCCTCATGTAACCAAGCCCCAAATCAGACATCAAAATAAAGAACTGAAGACCCAAAGCCACCGATGGAAAGCAGCCAGGACTGGAGCGTCCATTGTCAGTGTCGGGGTCAGCGTGAGGCAGGTGGGCAGTGTGCAAGGTAATGAGGACCCGCGGGCTGAGCCAGGGGGACAGGGAGCGCCAAGATGCCTGACCAGATCACAGGGTCCGCAGAGAACCAGAAGAGCAAAACAGACCGCAGGCGGCCGCCAGGAAACAGCTCCACACAGGAGGAAGTGCCTGCGTGCCAGAACCAGAAAGTGCCCCCGTGCCAGAACCAGGAAGAGACTGTGTGCCAGGACCAGGAAGCGACCACATGGCAGGACCAGGAAGTGACCACATGGCAGGACCAGGAAGTGACCTCGTGCCCAGTCCACACCTGACCCCACAGGGACATAAAGGCCAGGCCAGGAGGCCCCACACCACAAACCTCTCTCTCTACCTGCTCCTCTCACCTCCTTCACCCTCCACCACCACAACCATGAGCTGCTGTGTGCCAGCCTGCTCCTGCTCCTGCTCCAGCTGTGGCTCCTGCGGGGGCTGCAAAGGGGGCTGTGGCTCCTGCGGGGGCTGCAAGGGAGGCTGTGGCTCCTGTGGGGGCTGCAAGTCCAGCTGTTGCAAACCCTGCTGCTGTCAGTCCGGCTGTTGCAAACCCTGCTGCTGCCAGTCCAGCTGTTGCAAGCCCTGCTGCTGTGAGTCCTGCTGTTGCAAGCCCTGCTGCTGTGAGTCCTGCTGTTGCAAGCCCTGCTGCTGTGAGTCCAGCTGTTGCAAGCCCTGCTGCTGCCAGTCCTGCTGCTGCAAACCCTGCTGCTGTCAGTCCAGCTGTTGCAAGCCCTGCTGCTGTGAGTCCGGCTGTTGCAAACCCTGCTGCTGTCAGTCCAGCTGTTGCAAGCCCTGCTGCTGTCAGTCCGGCTGTTGCAAGCCCTGCTGCTGCCAGTCCAGCTGTTGCAAACCCTGCTGCTGTCAGTCCAGCTGTTGCAAGCCCTGCTGCTGCCAGTCCAGCTGTTGCAAGCCCTGCTGCTGTCAGTCCAGCTGTTGCAAACCCTGCTGCTGTCAGTCCGGCTGTTGCAAACCCTGCTGCTGTGAGTCCTGCTGTTGCAAGCCCTGCTGCTGTGAGTCCTGCTGTTGCTAACCCCGCTGTGCCCCCGTGTGTTGCCAGTGCAAGGTCTGAAATGACAGAGTCGAGTCTCTAGGTAAGTCACCCTGGACTACTCCCTGGGAAGGTCCCTGGCCCACCGTTCCTGGCGTATTTCTGCCTGCAGCTCTCTCCTGCCCTCCCTCTCCTGCCTGAGGGCACCACTGGTGCCCATGGGCCTGGCTCTTCTTGGCCTTGCCACGCTCTTCTCAGAAGAGCCGCATATTCTAACCACAGCCCTCCGGAGACCCATGCCCTCTGGCCTTCCTGGCTCTTTCCCACCCACCAGGAGCTGGTCCTCAGCAGGGCTGGGCCGGGCCTGAGGTAGCAAGTGAAGAAACGCTCGGCCCTCATCCCAGCTTCTCTGCAAACCCCAGAGCGCCTGGCCCACCCTGCCTTCCTGCGGGTCTGCGACTGTCTGTCCAAAGCAATATTTCCTTTCAATAAAATCATTTTCTCACACTGTAAACACAACCTTGCTTCTGTGCTACCAACTTGGTTCTGTGTCAGAATGGTGAGCAAATTCGTTGTCAATGAGGCAGCCTGGATGGGACATGCAGGGGTCAGCCTGGGGGAGGGGCATGCAGGGTCAGCCTGGGGGAGGGGCATGCAGGGTCAGCCTGGGGGAGGGTCTTGCAGGGTCAGCCTGGGGGAGGGGCATGCAGGTCAGCCTGGGGGAGGGGCATGCAGGTCAGCCTCGGGTTGGGGCAGCTCTTGAGGGGGACCTGCAGGCCCGGCCAGCCTGCTCACCGCAGCCCCCCAGCTGCCTCCAAGTGAGGCGTCTTCTGCCCAAGTTTGGGCAAAGGAGCAGGGCCAACCCAGCCGAGTGGGCACAGCACCCTGGGCTCACATCAGCGCCTGGGGTCCCGTCCTGTGACTGGCCTGTGCAGTGGGCTGCGTCCAGCACCCCTCCGCGTGCTGGCCGTTCTCACAGGCTAGCAAGCACCCTGACCCTCACACAGGAGACCCCATGTCCTCACGACCCGCCACTCTGCAGTCAGGACTGTGGACCGGCAGAGACGACGAGGAGGGTGGCCGCCGCCCCATCTCTCACCCCCCAGGCCTGGTTGGAAGTTGGGTGCTCCTTGCATGATAGGGTAGCTGTCCTCTGAACTTTCGCCTCGTCTGAATTCTTGCTGGCATGCCAAGTGGAGTATTAAAAGTACACATTTTCTCATAGAGCACTTCCCCCAATTTTGGTTGCCTTGGGGTGACGTCCTGGACAAAATGTCTTGCTTTCTTCTCAGCAGGATGTTTCTGGAAGTCTCTACCCTGGTGCTGTCAACCGAGCATGCGGGCCGGGCTGCCCGCCGAGCCTGCTCCTGCTCTGTGCCGGCCCTGCTCAGCGCAGGCTCAGCTCCCACAGCTTCTCCTTCGGTCCTTGGTGCCTCAGCCCACTGGGCCTCGTGCCGCAGGAGACATGGGTCTCAGGCGCGAGCTGAGCCAATCCCGGAAGGCAGCGTCTGCACAGACCCTGCGGCTGTGGCCTGAGCCCCTCTGGGTCCAGTCCCAGGTTGTGACCCATGGCTGAGACAAAGCCCTTGAGACAATGGGATCACCAACAAGAAAGGTTCAGTCCATCCCTGGAGCAGAGGACCCGCGGCTTTGAGCTCATGTGGAAGCAGTAGTGCAAAACTGCCTGCCTCCTGGCCAGGAAGCACAAGTGAGCAAGAGAAGGACACAGCCCCACAGCCCCTTTACCCGCACACCCACACCCCAGAGGCCCAGGGCCTCCCGCTCAGCCCTGCCTCCCGCAGCTCCCAGCCCCTTCCAGTGGCCTTTGCTCAGAATCAAGATTTACAGTGTGGGGGTGGGGGGGGGCTGGCCCTAGAGCAGGGGACAAATGAGGAGGCCCCCCACTCATGATGGAAGACAACTATGATAAACCAGTCACACACACACACCATAAACCGGAAGTCAATAAGGCATGGTGGTGAGCTCATGAAGGAAACAGACGGGGCCACAGGAAAGGGGTGACCACGTCCACAGGGTGAGGGAGACACCTGGAGGGGAGGATCGCCACCCAGGGCCCTGGCAGTCCCAGCGGAGTCGGCCCTGCCAGGGTCAGGCAGAGGGCGTCTGATCCCAAGAGGGAGAGAGGGAGCTGGGGTCACAGGCGCTCCTGGTGACAATTTGGGGAGCTGAAGCCATCCTCGAGTTTGTGGGTGACACCAAAGCCTGAAGACTGAACTAATGAGGTGGAGAGCTGCAGAGCTGGGTGTGGGGATAAGAGGTCGGGAGGGTTAGTGTCTGTCCCCAGGGAGAGCGGCAGCCACGGCCTGTCGCTTCTCTGAGGGCTGCCTGTTATTGTGGACAACAACTCCAAGAACAACTTGATGACGATGCTGGGGTTCCACCATCTTCCTGGGCTTGGACAGAGGGAAAACTGAGACTGAGAGGGATACCGGGAGGATGTGTCCGCCCTGCCACCCAGCCCAGCAGGAGCCAGGCAGCACTCAAGTGACAGAGGGCCTGACCCTACCCAGGCCCCTGCCCAGGGCGGTTGGGGTGATCTCCTCATGCTCAGACCTGCCCCGGTCCCACCCACCCCTGGGTGGCCTCGCTCATGAGTGCCCTCCGCAGTGACCTCCTCAGGGACTCTGGCCGTCTCCTGCCCAAGAGACACCCAGCCAGGTAGAAGGCCATGGGGTGCCCCACGCTGACCACACAAAACGTCAGTCTCAGGAGGTCCAAGGCCTGGTCCAGAGGCTCCCTCTGCAGTAGGCACAGGATGAGCACCAGAGGCAGACCCCAGAGGAGGACAGAGATGGCCGTGACGCAGGTGTCCCGGGGGACCCTGCTGAGCGGGCACCGCCGCAGGCCGCACAGGCAGTGGACAACTAGGGCCAGGCTGAACATGCACATCACCAGGGCTGTGGCCAGCTGAAACAGCACAAACCCGCTGAGCAGCCAGACACACCCAGGGCCCTGTGCCCGGGAGCCACAGGCCTCCATGGCTGCATGCAAACCCAGCGCCAGGGCCCAGCTGAGCAAGCTGACCACGGCCGAGGTGTATGGGGAGCAGGGGCGGCACTGGACCGGCCGGAGGGTGCCCAGGGCACACTGCATGGTCATGGCAGTCAGGACGCAGAGCTCCACTGTGCTGGCAAAAGAGGAGACTTCCTGGAGAATGGCGGACACGGGCGAGGTGGCCGGGCCGGGCCCCCAGAGGAGGTTCTCTAGCTGTGTCCCGGCAATGCAGGTGAGGTCCAGGACCTCGGCGGCGGTCAGGCTGAGGATGTAGGCGCCATAGGGGCTGCTCCCCACCCAGAGGCAGAGAAGACAACAGAACACGCCATTGACTGCTGCTCCAAGGAGGGCTACCAACACCGTGAGCAGCAGGACCGCCGGCCCGAACGCCGGCCACTCCTGCCTGGGGGGCACGTCCGCCCCCGTCCAGCTGGGGCTCTCGGTCCCATTGCTCCAGTCCAGCTCCCAGGTGGGGGTCTCCCTGAGGCTGGCCCAGTGTGCTGCCCAGGGTAGCGTGGCGGCGAGTCCTGCCATGTGGCTGGGTGCCCCTGTGAAGATGAAGGACAGGGGAGGTGTCCACCAGGCCCCGCAGCTAGCCCAGGACCCCTAGGGAGCAGAGGCTGGCTCCTGCCTTCCAGCTCCTCCACCAAGAGTGCAGATGCCCAATACCCTGCTGAGCCCTTTACCCAGGCCCGATGGCCGCCATGCTGCCACACTCCCCAGACTGCATGGAAAAATGCGTTCATCAGCCAGGTGCCTGCAGGGCACACCTGTAATCCCATCTACTCGGGAGGCTGAGGTCATGGTTCCAAGAAAAAAATCCTCAAGACCCTGATCTCCAATTCACCACCACCAGGTCAGAAATGGGGCTGTGGCTCAAGCAGTGGAGCACCGACCAATGGACCTGGGACAAAAACAAAGCCCAGCAAGAGCAGGAAGGCGTGAGTTCACACCCCCCCTGGCACAACGCGATTTGTTCAGTTACCTTCACAGTCCGGGTCTTCTCTCCATCCACAGGCTCCTCTGGGCTGAGACCCGAGCTTCTGAGCTTCCTGCTCCCCCTGCCCTGCCTCTGCTGACCCACCCCAGCCCAGTGAGGTCAGACAGGGCCCTGCCCTCAGTGGCAGAGGATCTGCTTCCCACCACAGAAGCTTCTGGGACAACCTTGAACCAATAATCGCCTGTGTCTAGAAGGATCCCCCAGGTGGCTGCGGGGTGTGCAGCTCTGTGTCCTACGGTTCTGTCATGCATCGCTGGGGCCCCAGAGGCCCTCGAGGACTGAGGCCACTGTGTGGCACCCTCCTGCACAGCCCTGTCCCCTGCAGCCTTGGCCTCTCCTCCAGAGACAGAGAGGCTCAGATCCGGCTCAGATCTAATCTGCTCACATGACGGCTGTGGGGCTGGTGACAGCTGCTGTCCTGGGGTGCAGGAGGGCCAGACACCATCTCTGCCCCCATCAGTACTCAACAGGGAGGGGACCCTGTGCGCCAAAGGGAGGGGACTTTCCCAGGGAAGATTTTCAGGAGTGACAGAGAGGTGAGTCCTGCCTGCCGCTGGGGAGGGGACCCCCACAGAGGTGCAGGGGCCCCAGGACCACACAGGTTCCCTGCTGCTGTGCTCCCGGAGCCCCACCTCTATCGGGCCCACCACAGAACCCTAGAACTGAGCAGCGTTCTTCTCATCACAGTAGGTAGGGCTGTAGAAACTCAGGGCCAGGGCTGGCCCCATGATCCTCCAATCTCAGCCTCTGAGTAGCTAGGATTACAGATGTGAGCCACGGGTGCCCGGCTCAGACCCAGATGCCTGGACTTCAGGCCGAGCCTGAGCAGCCCCCCTGGAGGTGCCAGGCTGGAGACAGCCAAAACTGAGCGCCTCCACAGTTGTTAGGATCCAAGGGGGAGCCCATTGGGTCCCTACCTCTCCTGTACGGTGGGATTCACGCGGAACGCAGTCGGCTGTTCAGTGAGGGGCAGCCACACCCGCCTCCGTGGCACCGCCCGCACCCGGTACACCCCACGGCCCTCCCG